CCGGGCGGATAAAATGATGCAAGTTGGTGTAGTTGGGAGCACAGGTAGTCCATCTGCCAGCCATCTCAGTCAACCAATGGCACCTGGGTCTGTGCCGTGGCCTCCTGCCAGCGAGACCTCAATACTTGACATGGCCTCGAAGTGCGCTTAGCCTGGAACGAGCGCTGTGGTGACATCACCGCCACTTGGTGGCAAATGGCAGCTGTTGTAAACGTGCGTGGCCGCATTCCTTGCATATGGGTGTCGCATCTGCCAGTCACCTCATTCAGTTAATTCAATAACATCAGGATCTGTAACCTGACATTCTGTCAGAGAGCTCTTGCCACGCCATGTTGCCTAAAAGTGAACCTAGCCTGGCACACGCATAATGGGGTTATCACCACCAATTAATGGGAAGCAGTAACAGTTGTTATTTTGTCGTGTGTGGATATTTTGTTTCACCATTGCAATTTTTTTAAGGTTTTTTGATAAGTATGTCTTAAAAGGGAAATGATTTCAGTTATTCAATAAATTATAGCTTCCATCCCTTTGTAATCATATTGTTGGATCAAGACCGTCATTGGCGGTCTTGATTGCACCACGCCACGCTGGTCAGTGTGTATCAGTAAGGGCGGAGATTCAGGATGTGTTCAGATATCACACATCACTCGTGTGAGCCGCATAGAGCACTTATCCCCCCCCCCCCCCGCAGTTATTAATTAAAAACAATCAGCCACGGGTTAGAATAACCACGGGCAATCTGACGATGGCTGAACCGCCTCTGTACAGGTGTCATCGCCTGCTGCAAAGCAGTCCTCAGGGGGTGGTGGGGGTCTGTCTCGACCAGGCCCCCCAGACAAACGAACTGCGTGTGCCTTCGGTCACCTTGCTCCGGTCATCGTAAGTGAGAGCAGGCCCTGCACGGCCGATGGTTTATAATCACCGTTAACCATCGTGGCCACAAGCCGTGGCCACAAACGATCGTCATTGATCTGACTGAGTCGGCGTGATGGACACAAGATCAGCCGAATTAATTTTAACGATATTTTTTTAAGGCCCGTTTGTCGATTCGTTGCTGGATGAATACATCCGCACGCCGCGTCTGTCACGTGGTTTTTTTTCCCCCCAGTGTTCACCACGCTGCTCAGCCGGGGGTTGGTGCATCAGGGTCCAGGACCGGTTCAGATATCAGTCGCTCGCCACCGTTGTTGGTCCTGGCCGGGAATCGAACATAGGTCACAGGTTTCATAGCGCAGTGCGTTCATCACTGCGTCACTGCTGCCCCTCGTTGAAGCTACTTCCTGTGGTGATGCGGTTGATGATGGCCAGTGAGACAATATAAATATAGCCATATATATTTAGCAAACATTCATGCCAACATAATTACAACTCAAGCTTGTAAAATTAATAAATATTAACGTGCAAAGCAATTAACACTTTTGCGGTAGCACTGCTCGGAAAAGGCGTATTAGTTTCAACTTCGCATTAAAGTAGAAGTGATAAATGAAATATACTGACATGCAATAATAACACCTCCAATGATTTATTTGAAAATGTAAATACATGCTGTAAGCATGGAAAAAATTGTTATGCTCCCAATTACAATACGGTATACGCAATGTACTGCTTCTAAAAAGTCATTATTTATTTGTATCATCTTACACCTGGTGAGACGGCGCACACGTTTAGCGTAATTCTTTGGAGGAGAGAGTTGATGGATCACGGGAGATCGGAGTAAAGCGAATGGGTTTTCTGGACCCCTTACATACCTTGGACTATTGAGTGTTCGTCACATAGGTGCGCACTGACAGCACTTGCCACAACAGTCTGTTAAGGCTATTCGGGGGATCTTTGTGTTTGTCGCTTCGTACACGTGGGTGTCTCCCGGGTGGTCGGGTTTCCTCCCACACACCCAACGCTCGTTAGTTGAACACGTCGGCTTGTGCGACCAATATTAATCATATCAGTTTTTTGGGTTATGTTGAATAAATATAAATGTGTCGTTAAACCCGTCACCACCCGACAGAGCCAATGAAATGTTATGGGTTTACTATCCAACTACACTGATGTTCTCAACTTGTAACTAATTGGCATGTTTTGTTTCCATGAAAAACCTTACAAATTGGCTGCGTCGGGGCAGTGGCGGATTTAAGGACACATTTATATTTACTCAACACTCGTTAATAGCATTGGGCCAAAATAAATATCGAAAGAAAAAAACCCTTTTGTAACTTCGTGAATTTAGTGTCTGAGACTCAGCGGTGCTGTATAAGTAAATCAACACTGTGAAGCTATATATTTAGTTTATGTTGGAATATTCAGTCACCAATTTAAAGGGGTCGGTTAAAGACAAGGGAGGTGAATTATTGTTTTTGGTCATTGCGTAAGGAATTAAAAAAATGCTCTTTGCGGAGATATGTTCGGCAAACAAAAAATCACTCCTGTATCCTCTGCATTGGCACCAAACCTGAAACATTTGTGTGTGAAATGACAAAGGGCAACCATGGTTACATAAATGACTGTAATGTCGCCATCATGCCAAGGTCTGTCCCGTAAGTGGTCACGGTGTATATTTATGAACACTTGAATGCGGAGATAAAACATTTTTTTTTATGTAACTTCATTATCGCGTCCTAACGGCACCCATTTACTGTGGCCTTGAAGGCCACGTGATCGGGAGGCTGTGCCCCAACCGTGCCGCGATTGGTCGTTCGTTGCTCAAGCGGTGGAGCTGGGTGTAGTTTCGAAGTGTGTGTACATTTTTTTCAAGGACGTGGCAAACGAATCGAATGTCTGCCGCCAGACAATGTTGTGCGGAGAAATCGACATTTCCGCGCACACGAAGGAAATGCAAACACGCCCATATTTAGAGGCCATTTAACTCTTGTTGAGCACAGTGCACTGTGAACCCGGCGACCCGGGATCGATAGCTGGCCATGGCTAACATCGGTGGCCAGTGATCTACCTGACCAGATCCTCGGAGACCTGAGTTCAATTCTCATCATTGAGCAGAAAAATATCAGACCTGATCCTGGTCCTGCCTTCCCCTTCCCCCCATCCCTTCACCAACCTGCACTGACTAGCGTGGTGAAGTATGGTCAAACAACCCCCAGGCCGAACACGGTATAGGGAGGGTCCTCACCCAACAGTGGGTTGATTGGTTCTGGGCTGTAAATTTATACATAAATAAAAAATATATATTTTAACTTTCAGGTTGTGATAACTGACGTATTAAAGAGATACTTCAACAACAAACGTTGCTCACAGAGTAATGTCACCTGAATTAATCTTCTCCCAAATAAATTAATCCCGCGCCTTCGCGTACAAAGCACGTGAACCAACCTGGGGAAAAAAAACGAGAGGCTTAGAGAGCTCGTCAAGGCTGCGTAGAAAGGTTTGCGGATGAGGGCAACACACAGATTAGAATAGCCAGCCTGGCACACAGCCACGGGGAAATCCACAACGTAGAATTCGAAACCTTTTTTTCGCCGTGCATCGTGAAGCGGCCTTGCGTGTTTGGAATACGGGTGGAAATTGGACGGAGATGCGTGCTCGAAAGTTACCCGTGACAAATCGCATCCCGGAAAGGCGACCCCGTGTGTATTTGTTCTAACAATTGGTCACAACATCCAGAGGAGTGGCACAACGTCGGGATTGCGGTAGATTGTGTCCCCCGTGGAATAAGCGTCACACCTGCGGCAGCTCCCGCCAAGTGTGAAAATAGCATTCGTGATATTTGCCTTTCCAAAGTATGCTAAAGCCATGCATGTATAAATAACATTTTTTTTTATTGCCTTGCCATCTATTCTGTTTCCAATAAAATGAATTTCTGACACAGGATACTGGTCAATTGTTTGTTTTATTTTCTAATACTTTTATTTCGGTTGTAATATTCTGGTTTAGTGTCTTTTCTTTCCCTTTTCTCAGAATAGTTTTTAACTTCAAGAGGCGGCTCAGGATGTACGTACGTATGTTGAACTTCTTTCGCACCGGACGTAGCCAACTGTGCCACGGCTGAAATCTTGGGTTCAAATCTGGCTTGTCACATGTGGTGGAGGGAGCTGCTGCCTCGACCCAATCGCCAATGATGACGCGACAAAAAAAAAGCCAACAACAAACATGAGCTGGTCGATGAATCCACCACTGGCATGGGTCACCTCGGGCCTCGCACACTGGTGGGGCTTGTGGACCCCCCCCCCCACCTGCTTCTAGACACGTGTCGTCACCACTGGTGGGGCTTGTGGACCCCCCCCCCCCTGCTTCTAGACACGTGTCGTCATCCTGTCCGTGCTACCCGCCGACACCAACCCCCGCAGTGACCAGCCGTGGTGAAGTATGGTCAAGTAACAGTCACGAGACGTACGCCATGAGTCGTGGACATGAAGAGTATTTCCCACTCGAATACCACTGGGTCATGCGCACCGCTTTTGGAAGAGTGCACAGGCGTGGATGACACCGAGAGCAAGGAGTTCACAACAACCTAACACCAATTACCACCGCTTCAAGCGCGCTGCGGGAATGACATTGGCAAGTGACAGCCCCAGGCTTTATGAGACAAGTTCGAGAACGAAAATAAATGAGAGCGGACTCAACTTCACGTTTTTTTCAGGTGGCCCAAAAAAAAAGGTTGTGAATGCTCAGCCACTTACATTAAAACGGGAATTATCCTCGTTGCCATGGGACATGATACCTTTACTCTTTTTGTCTATGCTTTACTGCTCGATGGACCCTGAGAAGTGCGCGTTTATAGACCGCGAGAAAACCTAGTTTGAATTAGTCGCGCAAATACGCACGCAAAGATTCCCGTACGCTCACCGCAAAGACGTCGACGCACTTACAACCACAGTAACCGCCCCCCCACCCCCCCCCCCCCCATTTGCAAGTTTACGTTTAATAACAGCTGCGAGCCGAAAACATAAACGCACACGCGCATATATAACAAACACGCAGCTGCCAACTCCGCCGGTGAGTTAAACTTGTGGATGTTGCGACGCGCAACGCCGAGAGCTCGATCGACTCACCGACACGGCGGCTCTCATGCGGGCACGGAGCAAGTTGGTGTCATTCGACGGAATGTGCCTTCGAAATTCTCCGCGGCAAGAAGGAAGAACTCGGGAACCATCGCTCGCCGCTTGCTTTTCACCGTCTTAAAACCGTGGCCGCCCAGTGTCAAGTGCAACCAGCGCAGAGTTCCACGGGGAGGCTGCCGTATTGATTTATATTCTGTATTCCAAAGGTCGCCAGTGAAGTTGCTTCCGTGAAAGAAAAAAAAGAGAATTTTTCACCGCCGTCAGAGGCACTTTGCGTGGCACGAAATGGCTCACTCAGCCAATGGGTACCTGCGCTGCGGTTTTATGAGCGTGCAGACACGCAGATGCGAAGGCCTGGCTGCCTGATGCTTGCTTTGTTAAAAGTCGTGTTTTTCAAGTCAGTACATACAGAGTAATGCAAAAATCACCTAAACCCGATGATCTTTTAAAACTAGATGCACTTTTAAATCCAGTACTTTTTTGTGTTTAGCTCGTTGTCCTTCCCCCGCACCTCCGATGAGCACGGTTGGCTACGTACGGTGCGAAAGAAGTTCAAAATACATCTGAGTTACGGTTAAAATAAGTTAACGAGTTATGTCTTAACTGGTGCCCAGCTCTGCATTTCCCGTCCTCACCATCTCGCACCGACGCTGGCCAGTGCGAGCTGATCAAAACGTTTAGTAAACCCCTGCTATTTTAATATATACAGGTACATATGTACCTGTACATATTACAACCAGTACTATACCTGGACCGATTGTACCTCATTCACTGCACTTGTATGTCCATGCAATGTTCGTGCAAGAGTGAATTGTGTAGTCAATGGGTTGTGTTCATTATCTTTGTTTTTTTATTTGCTCAGGTTCACGATGTTATCTTTCAAGAGCACAAAGTAAAAGACAAACCACGCCACTGATGTTGGTGTACAATAACCCCCACGTATAAACATAAACATCTGTTTAGGGCAAGTGCTGTTAGTGAGCACCTATTAAGGTCAGCACGGCACGCCCGGCCACGCCTGTTTCCGAATACTGATGTTTACTCATTTTAGGCTGAGCCAATCTAGGTGAGGCCCGGAACGGCTTCAGATTATGTCATCACCGACGTTGGCTGTGAACGGGAATTGAACTCTGGCGGCCTGGCGCGTTCGTAGCGCAGAGCTGCCAGCAACCCGCCGCTCCCCAAGCCCAGACACACGCAAAATAAAATTCACGTTATTGCCACTTCCCCTGGGATGGGGCTACTAGCAGAGAGGCAGCGGGGAGTGTGGAAGTCGGGCGGGTGCTGCTGTAGCTTGGAGCGGTGCTGCTCGGCGCTAATTGCCGAGGACAAAGCGAGACGGTTGTCAGCGCGGCGTCTCGTGAGAAGATTTCCGGGCCCCCACGGCTGGAAATTTGATTCTCCGCCAGCCCGACCGAAACACAATTTGCGCCTCGCTCTACTGGTGTGAAGACACTTTAAAAAATATATATTTTTTTTATTTTTCTTGCCGGAGGATGATGATGATGCTGCTGCTGCTGCTGCCAGTCACAGCGGCGCGTCCGTCCAGTGCTGCCGTGGAGTTGTGAATCTCACGCACACGCGCACGGAAGACACGCTGTGTAATGGGCGAACCGGTTTCTTAAACTTACTTTCCACATTGACGCCAGTTTTTTTAATATATATACGGTAAAGGTGCAGTCCTGCAATTTCTTGCTCAGGTCACTGCTGGCGATAGAGTTTAGACTTATAGGGAGCTCTTGGGAGCCCCGAGGAATAAGTTTGAGTTACCCGCACATTAGCCCGCCGCGTGCGATGTGCCAAGCAGCCAATTGTGGTGCACTCGTTAATAATTCTGCGGACAGAAGTGGAGGGCGTGAATAAACTTTCAATTCACACACACACACTAATTGTGACAGTTGGCGCCGGATCAAATAGTGAAAACTCCAACTTCTGATGGCATCTATGCCCAAACTGCACCCCGGAGGTGATCACGTGGCTCAGGAGTCAGAACGCTGAGCCAGCGCCAATGAGATGGTGATCACAGTGGCGAGATGTTAATTACCTCGCCTGGTATACAGGATGTCATGGGTGCGATCCTGACCCTGACGCCTGCATACTTGTCGTTTGCATGTTCTCCCCGTGGTGGTCGCGTAGATTTTTTCTCAGGGTCGTCCGCTTTCTTCCTCCACATTTAGAAACACGCGTTTAGAGTGTTTGGCTGCTCTAAATGTCCACGTGATAAGCCGTCACTTCGTTGAGCTGTCATTTGTAACAGCCAGGTCGCTTCTGAGAAAGAGCTACGTAGCTCAGTGGGCCTTACCTGGTAAAATATAAAAAAAGTTTAGAATAGTTAAAAACAACTAGTTTATAACTCAACACATTCGTCAACAACACTGCACTGAATATGAAACGTATATAATAAGCGAAGTTTTGGAGCATGGCCTCTATTATGAAGAAGGACCATTGCATGAAACGTCACCTGTTTTATATATTGTTTTCCTTAAACATAAAAGTGAAAACTTACTTCTTGCTCAAAATTAGCATTTCGGCAGCAGTAATCTCTGGGGTGTTTGTTTTCCTTGAGAGCAGTGCTATTGATGAATGCATTGTGGGGTTTTTGGTAATTTGCATTGCTAACATGTACAGTACCAGACGTCAGAACTGCAGAGTCTGCCTCTGCTGTGATGGCACCGACATAAAGGAACGGCCTGCCTGACCACATCACTAAATAAACGAACTCGGATCGAATCAAGAACAGACTTAACAGTTACCTTGTTTACTTTAATTGTGAAGAATGACCCATTTGCATTGTGTAAGGAAACACGCAGACACTAAATGCTAATTTTGTTATATTGTGTTTATTTACGGGGAGCGGTGGCACAGTGGATAGGTCACTGCAATAAAGACAGAAAGATTCCCGATCAGGTCTAACATCATTGGCCAGTGGGTCATCCCACTTATAACCAGCTAGCAAAGCTAACTGTGGTGAGGTATGGTCGGATAAAGCGTATATAGCTCATTGGGCCCTAACTGGTAGTAATAATATATAGAGAGAGACTGTGGGCTCGCATCTGGGTTTCAGCCACCGGCCGTTAAACTGGCTTCTCAAGTGCGAGATGATGGTGTCGGGTCCATGAACGAATGATTACACAAACAAACTGCACCAATGAATTGCATACCATTAATTTTAGCTAAATTGCATCATCATTTTGGTTGAACTGCCATGAGGCAAACATTTCATCGTAGCAGAGCGCGTGGGGAAGTGCGGGACTCCGAGTGTGGATAAGAGGTAACTTGTCGGGCCTTCAGGACTAGTTCCATGATATCACATTCTGCGGGTCACTCGCTAACATGGGAGGGGAGGTGGGAGTTGATGCACAGTTTCTGCAAGAGTTCCGAATAAACATTTCGTCCATGCTTAGACTTGCTGCACGAGTTACTTTTCAAGGTGTGGAAATTTAAACATTACATGTAAAGTTTACAGAGTGACTTGCCTACGTGTGTGCGCCCTGTGCCCGAAATACATTTCACCTGTTTGTACTGCCAACACATCGACCCAGACTGGGTTGACAAAATGCACCATCGCGTGTCCCGACCCTTCTAGAACAAACCCGCCCAGTGCTCGCTATTTACCCGGGACCCTTCAGCGAGCGACCATTCGGGTGAGGCGTGTTTGCAAAGTTGCGTGGAAGGAGCGGCCGGTTCCAGGCCTGACTGACTGAACAATCAACCCAAAGCTCTCCACGAGTAAAATTTTGACTAAAAACTTTCGTGACTGCAGGAATTCATATTGTTGGTTCTTTCGGTAAAGTCACGTAGATAGAAAATAAAAATCAAATAAAAAATAAATTAAAATAAAAGCAAAAAAAACACTTATTTAAATTTAATTTTAGAACCAAGAATATACTCTTCACGCGTGTCAGTGATGTAGGGCAGTGGGAAGGTGGGGGCCTCCATAACAGCCCCACTCTGTCCAGGTGAGAAACCACGACGAGCGTCGTCCTCGACCCGGCGAGCGAACATCGATCGCCGGGTTGTTTCCTTTATTTGAGTTTCGTGTGTGTTTCGTTTGTTGTCGTTTCTCCGGCACCTCCGAATAGCACGATTGTCTACGTACGGTGCGAAATAAGTTCAACATGCGTTGATCAACCACATACCTGTCAACCCATACGGTTTACCCGTATTATTGTACAGGGAAATTGAGCACAAACATTTTTATTTGTCAATGTTTTTGTGTTTCTCCCTTGCGATGGAGCTTTGTAGGATAAAACGTTGAGACTTTTAAGGGCACGGGGTGACCAACAAGGTCTGAATTGGTCCGTAATAAGCTAGGGCACTGACAAGGGGTTGACAGGTATGCAACCATCTCACGGTCTCAAGAGTAACCTCTCAAGCCACTGTAACGGCCCTCTTCTCCATGGCCATACAAACGCACTCTGAGATAGCTGTCCCGGAACGAGGATCCTCCACCTCAACACTGAGGGACTCTCCCGAGGCGAAGTGCAAGAACCTCGCGGGCGTGTCTGAAAGATGCGTGCAACGCCACCGTCCTCACGTCTCCACGAAACGCGCGCCTCCAGTGACCAACAGGCCCAGCCGCTACCGTACTCATGGATACAACACTCACGACCAGCCACTGCCCTTAATTACAGGTTTTTTGGGGGATTACGAACACGTAAATATATAAATGTGTCGTTAAACCCGCCACCACCCAACACTGCCAATTAGCAAAGTTTGTCACGTAAACAGAACTTGCCAATTCGTTACTAGTACAGCACACCGGTGTGTTGGAGAGCCAAGCCACATTTGCAATCTGATGATGCTAGTTGTAATTACTGGCGCACAAAAATATGGCCTGCCCCCCCCCCCATGCATCCGTGAAGTGGGATGGTAGTGACGGTAAACGCGCAGCCCGTGATTTCGCTTGCTCGTGCCACTGCTGGCCTCATCTATAGTGGGAATTTTGGCCTATATCGTCCATGCTCTCCAGGCATCTTGGAAGAGGTGGTGATCGTAACAAAAAATGTTGGGTTAGATTGTGTACGTAAAAATGTTGTCGTTAGCAATTCGTAGTAACTATTCGGCACGCTTCGTTTACACGACAAACCTTACTAATTTGCTGTGTTGGGTGGTGGGGGATTAACGGCACACTTATATTTACGCTACCTAACCCAAAAACCTTCATTACGAATAATATTGGTCGCGAAAGCCTACGTGCTAAAGCGGTATGGTAAAATATGCAAAAAGCAACATGAATCCCAGCATGCTTTGCGTGACAAGATGACTTCACAGTATTTGTGCATACTCTGCATTGCTTAGTGATGGCCGCCAGCACGAAATATATTGAGCTTGCGGAATTTTGGGCCAATCTTCAAGCTGCCGCGCTGGGAGATAAAACCTGGCGACCCCTTGGGTTGCATTTGGAAGTACAACTTGAGTGCGCCAACCGCTGAAAGCA